TCCACCCATTTACCTGTAATTTCACAATTTCATTTTTTAAACAGCGTAGTAATATTCCTTTGTGTAAATGTACCTCTTTTTAAAAAAAAATTCTTCTCTTGTACAATACATCCTGGCCACAGTATCCCCTCCTTTCTCTCCTCCCAGTGTGTCTACCACAACTGCCCTTTGTTTCCCTTCAGAAAAGAGTAGGCTTCCTAGGGTAACAACCAAGCATAACAAGTTCCAATAAGACTAGGCATGCACCCTTATATCCAGGCTGGACAAGGCCACCCAGTAGGAAGAAGGAGGTCCCAATTACAAGCAAGAATCAAAGATACCCTCCACAGCTAATCAACTATAACATATATGCAAAGTACCTAGGGCAGACCCATGTAGGCCCTCTCATTGTTACTTCAGTCTCTATGAGCTCCTATGAGCCCTGCCTAGTGGATCAGTGGACTGTGTTCTTGTGATGTCCTTGACCTCTCTGGCTCCTACAATCCTTCTTTCCATCTTCCATGGGATTCCCTGACCTCTGCCTAATGTTTAACTTTGTACTTTATTTTCTCCATCCATCCACCCACCCATCAATCCATTCATTATTTTGTATTTTAAAGATTTCCATGTGTGAGAAAGTATGTGTCTCTGTGCCTATAAGTATTTCTTGTGTTTTTCTTTTGGCTCCTCCCTCCATTTGTTTGCTTAGTCCTATTCTTGTTTGTTTTCATTTTGTTATTTTTAGATGCCTGTTTGTATTCTAATGAGAGAGAGAATAAAGGATGTGGATTTGGACCATTGGGAGGGTGGCAAGGATCTGGGAGATGAATTGGGAGAGGAGAACTATAATCAGAATGCATAGTATGAAAAAATATTTTCAATAAAAGTTATAATTATAAAAATAAGAATAGCAAGGTTACATTTCTTAAAAGCTGACACAAAGTGGTGGTCCAGGGACACATTGTTTATGCGTTTTAGGTGAAAAAAAATTTAATTACCATTAAATTAATGCCTTTATGACTTAGAGATTTTGTTTGAGTCAAACAAGCAAGAAAAATTAGCATGTATTTGCAACTAGAGGTCAGATACAGGAATGTCCTTTATCCTTGTAAATAAAGGATAGAATACTCTTAATTGTCAACTAGTAGTATATATAAGGATAAAAATCATGACTTCAACAGAATGAGCACAATTCATAAGATGAAAGGTTATTTAGAACATGTTTTCTGGTTGTACAATGTCAAGTGCAAAAGATAGAAAGTCAGTCCCTTGTGGCAGATTGAATAGTGGTTAGTCTTTGGAGCTTAGGCACTGGGATGGTAGATTCTGAAATTGTTATGTAGATGGTGGGCAGATAGTACTTTTATTCTTACAGTGTAAATATGAGTTCAAAGGCCTCAGAACCATGCTATAAAGATTAGTGCATTTCTGATATGAATCTTATCTTCACTAGTAGTTTTTGATTGAGTTGAACATTTGTTAACAAAGCATGAAACATCACGATACAATTTAGAATACTTTTACAGCAAGAGAGGTTTTGTTTGAAACTAAAACCTCAGAAAGCCACAAAGCAAAGATGAGCAGATGATGTGGTTTAGGTACCCGGAATGTACTGTACCGCTGGCGCTGGTAGGAGGCGAAGTGAGGCTGCAGAGGGAATCCTGAGAGGTATTTCTCCAAGAAACCACAAGAGGATCTCCAAGCTAAGGCAGCCAGCTTCTGCTTCACAGGCGTTCCCACCTTCTGCCTAGAGGAGCTGTAGCTGAGCTCACAAACTGCATCAGACCTCCAGGTCTTCCCCCAAGCATTGTAGCTGTCTGAACAAGTGCACTGTTAGTTCTCAAGGTTTGTAGATTGACTCACAAGCCCTAGGTCTTAGGATGAAGTACCTTGTTTTTTTCAGAATTTCTTTTTGCATTGCCACCGTCGCCCCATTCCCATCTCCCACCCGTTTATTTTCCTACAGAGGAAAAGGAAAGTGAATTTTGCTCACCCAAAAGGAGCTGTTAAGTTTCTCAGGTGCTGAAGATGGAAAGGCTGGCGAGCAGCAAGGGTATGCAGTGCAGTGTGTGTGTGCTCAGTTAAGCACCCCAGCCTGGTCAGTTTAGGTGAAGGAAGAAAATCAAAGGCTAACAGCCAGTGCTGTAAAGATTCTTGACCTTGCATTTTGCTTTCATACTTATGTTCAGAAAGCTTGCTTTGAATACCACATCCCTCCTGACTCATTTAGCATAAAATAATTTTTTTCCCCAGACTGCATTATGGAGGCTTTCTACAGTAAAATATTCAGCTCTGTAAAGCTGGCCCATTGTGTCCAATAAGTGGAGCAAAGCATTTCAAACTTCAGAAGGGGTCAGGTCTCACTCATTCATAATAATAGCACATCAAACCTATGCAGGAAAGAAAAAGAATAAACTCCACCAGCATGGGGCTGTATAAAGGTCTCACATCTATTCCACTAACAGGCTGTGATAAATACAGACACATATAATCCCAGGACACCTCTCATTATGCTGACATTTTACAAAGCCATCCAAATGTCAGTCTGTCTTTACTGTATAATAGATTGTAAACAACTCATGTTCTGAAAATAATAAAAAAATATGACGAAAATACAGCATCACAGGAAGAAGCCAAGTGTGTCTGCCCTGGTTCATGTTCCAAGAGACAGTGGACACAGTGACTAAGAGTGAGTACCAGGATCTTACCCTTAGGGGTGGTATTTAACCTCCTGGGACTTTTCTGTACTTGAGCAGTAGAATTATGCTGTGAGAATTTGAATGATTCAGCCACACTGATTCTTGGCTCCCATGGAACCATGCCTGACATTATTTCACCTATGTTCCTGTAACTATGTCAAAAATGGAAGCATGAAGGGACTGCTACATTAACCTTTAGTTTTCTTGTAGAATATTTTCAAAGCTTAGGTGGTGATGACATGTAGGTGGCTCTCCTGTGAATTCTGCATCCTTGGGTTCAAACAAACTTGAGTAAAAAATATTGTCTTTAAAAAGTATATCACTACCAGACAGGCATTTATCTTATTCTTTAAACAATCATAACAACTACATACATGGCATTTATACATAGTATGCATTAAAAATTATCTGTAGATGGCTTAAACCATACTGGAGGTCTATGAAAATCTTAATACATTTTTTAAATGACAGATTTAGCATCCCCAGGGATCCTAGAAACCAGTTCTTGGAGTGGAAATTTAAGATATGATTGCATTTGTATAGAGACTCAAGATAATTTTGCACCACCCTTTGACTAGATTTTGAAGGGTTTCCTTGTATGGCACAGAAATTAGAGATGAAGGAGAGTTTGGTAGAAACTTGAAGAAGGAAGAAAGGTGATGGCTGTTAGGAATCTCCACAGAACATAGGCATTCAGACTTACAGAAGTGCAGGTAAAGAAGGGTGATAGAAAATGCCCTGACTGGGGAGAGCTGGGTGAGGCAGGAAGAAGGCAGTGGCCTGATGTTAACCAAGACAACACAATCCTTAATTAAAAGCAATACTGTTATCAAGAACAGTCTCCAGCCTCTTGCTGGCTCACAATTCTTACCTGAGAATCTGGAGACAATGGAGGTAATTCCCAAGAGCTTCAACCTGCTTCTCTCTCTATTTCATGAAAAAGCTTACTGTCAGTGTTGCTAAAATTCCTTCTTTTGGGGAGATAGAAACATTGTCAACACCCTCCTCCTGGACCCTAACAACAAAAACTCCTACACAATTCAATTTGTTGACCTGGGGTTTATTGGCCTCACCTACAGAGGTAAAAAGTTTCTGACAGGATCTTGGGTGATCACAAAACAACTTCACTTAACATAGTTAATGGCTTCATCTCCTTTCTCTAGTTTTGCCAAACCTGTATATTCTAGTACCTCCTTCCCCTAGACACTTGGCAATGGGGGTAAAATTGCAAACAAACTACTGGGAGAAATGACTGGATGTCAAGTGAGAATCCAATGACCTTCCCAACACCTCCTTCTCTGAAAGAAAGCCAGCAATCCACAGGCCCGAACCTGATGGATTCCTGCAAGCAGGCATAGCTACTTATAATGATGGTGGCGAATTGGCTGCAAGGGTAGTACTTTACAGCATCCAGTATTAGCGAAATTGTCGTGCTTCTATGAATAGTAGTTGAAAATGTATTTCTAAGAATGTTTTTTAATTATGGAAGTAAAATTCCTATTTGTGTTTAAGTTAATACTTGCATGTCAAGAGATTAGCTTTCTAAATGATCATACAAATAAAAAACAGGCAATTTTCAGTTTGGAACATGAAAATAACGTCAATCCCACCCAACAGAGGGTTCCTTGCTTTCTGGCTCTGGAGCCTTCTCTCTGGCTCACTTGTACTAATTACTGGTAATGTGTTAGTCTCTCTTCTCTGAGAAAAGGGGACATTCTTGGGACTTCCCCAGCAAGCCACAGTTATGAGCACCAGGGGGAGTTCAGGTAAGCAAGCACCACCCTAGAGAAGATAGCCTTTTGGCAAACCATCTCACTTACTTGCAATGGCGTCCCTAAGAGAAGGCACGCGGCACTGGGGGCAACAGGGTGGGTGCGCTGCAGTAAAACTACCAGTGCCCATGACTCCATCGATGACACGGGCCAGTCCCCAGGCCCCTTCTGCGCCTCCCTGCGGGATCCCCAAGCTCTCCTTCCCACCCCCAGCCCCGCCCCCTTCCCAACCTCCCAACTCCGAGTCCATTCAAACCTCTCTGCCTTCGCCTGGCGTTGCCAAGCGCGTTAATTGGGGAAACTCCTCCCCGCCGCGGCTGGTGGGCACCACTGAGACAGCCGCGACCTCCAGCCCCGCTCACAGCTCCCCCAGAGCAGACCCCCCGAGCCGGCCCGGGAGGTGGGCGGCCTCGCGGGCTCGGGCTGAGGGAGGAGGGCGCCTGGCCACCTGCTGCCCCCCCTTCCCAGCGCTGATCGCTCCCGAGAGCGGACGCACCCCAGCTCCTGTGCGCCCCGCAGAGCCGGACCGTCGGGGGCGCGGCGCTCGGAGCAGACACCTGTCCCTTCTGGTCCACAGAACCCGGGGCGCTGCAACCCGTAGTAGCCTACTAGTCCCCGGAACGAGTGGAGACTGAGCCCCGCAGAGGCCTCGGACCCGCGCCCGGAGAGCCATGGCTGCAAAGCTGCTGCTTCTCCTCTGCCTGTTCTCGGGCTTGCATGCTCGGTAAGTGGCTCCCAGGCGTTTCCCCGAGGCCGGCGGGGGCGGGAGGGCGGCGGGGGGCGCCGTCTGCCGGCCGCTAGTCCCAGGTGCGCGCCGTCCACTGGGCTGCAGGAGAGGGAAGGTTCCCGCACCTCACCTGTAGGTCTCCCCCAGAACCAGACCCTATCTCCAGGGCCGCCACAGCCCTCTGCAACCCGGTTTGCGTGGCGACTGTTTGGGTGATTTTTAAGATGTGATGGTTTCAAGGGACTTGGGAAACCGAAATGATGAAGCAGTGGCCTTATCTTTCTCCCCATCAGTTATCCAAGGGCTTTCTGGCATACATTGGTTAACACTTCATCTGTTCCATCACTGAAAAGAAACCTCCAGACCCAGGAATTCTGTTTTCCCAACCACCCTATATAGATTATAGAAGAGGTAATTGGAAGGAAAGTGGAGGGGGCTGGGGCAGGAAGAGCCCTGCTTCTCCCCTAGGTCCTACACCACGCACAAGCACCCCTGTCTCTATAAAAGAATCATGTTGCAGTTAGCACGGAAGCTCCTTCTTGAAGCTGTAAGAAATTACCTCACTTTGAATACCCCAAGGCAACACCAGTCAGCTAACAGAAGATGCACCCCGTAGACAAACGAGAACTCATAAGAAGGGCAGTGGCACCAGAAGGGTTAAAGCCTGTTGCCATAAACACAACTAGAGGTGCTGACATGGTTTAATTCCATCTCCCAGACTGGTGCTCTGGTTAGAGCCTGCAGACCACCCTGAGCTTTGGAAATCCTTGGCTGCTTTCCCTACTGTCACCCTAGGAATTGGAGGACACCCCATTCGCAGAACACGCTTGCTTTTGACATTTTTTCAATTTCCTGACTTAGAAAGCAAATTAGAAAGCAGCTATCCCTGAGAGTCACAGGTCCTATCGCTCTCACTGGCTTTCATTTTCATTCATATTTGTTAAATATCAGAACTAGGAAGCCACCCTAATAACTCTTCCCAAAACTATGAGGGAGGGCTCCCCAAATTCTTACTCCAGCTAACCAAGGTCCTTACCCTAAGGAAGAAAGTCCCTCCCCATCGACCTGGACTTGTTCTTGCTGAATGGACGCTGGAGACTTGAACAGTCACTCAGGGAGCAGAGGATCCTGAGACCTCTCCACCAAAGTTTCTTCCCTCCAGGGAGGGAGTTAAGAAGTGCAGTGGAAAGTGTGTTTTGAAGGAGATTGTGCATGGAGGGATCTTAGTTTAGAGGCAGACGCCACCAGAAGCATCAATAAAGCTGCAGACGCATCACCAAGTCCCTTGCTATAGCCACTAACTCAAAAACCTAGCTTACAGTTCAGGCTTTAATCAGTTATTTAGATTTATAGTTGCAGTTCTGGAAGGAAAGCTGCCACTTTCCTTCATCATTATATATGCTCCCAGAGAAAATGGAGCATTCTGGTTTCTGAAGATTCCCAAAGACACAAAAATCCCCTGAGATTCCTCATCTTTCTTTTCCAGCCGAGGTGCACATACTAATGTTAATATTTTCTCTGTTGAGTTTTAAGTCTTGGTAATCATGACTGCCAATCAGTTTTTAAAGAACTCACTTTGGATTTATTGCTTTATGTCTCACTTTTGAAGAGTTTTCTTTTTAAATGGGTTTTTATAAACATGTAAGATAATTGAATAGCCCATCCATCTTTCAGTCTATTGTCAGTTTTGAGGGGATTCTCTTTAGCATTCAAGATGCCTAGCTGGTATGGATCCCTTGTAGATAGGTTCTGACAGGATGCTCTATGGCTGTGCAACGGGGGTGCCCGCCTACAGCAGGGTTGTTTCCCTGACACTCCTGGCTGAGCTTGTTACACAGGAAAATGCAGTGCTTCCTTTCGATGGTTACTGATTTAGGAAGTTCAGGAGTTCTTTTTAATACTGAAAACTCCTTTGAATGTTGTCTCTGTCATTCTGATGAAGAGAAGGATTAAAGATACTGTCTGGGGAGTAAGCATGTTTTTGTTTTATTTTTAAGGAAAAGCTAATTGCAGTGATGCTGTTTAGGATCCAGCAATCTGAGCGACAGAGTGCTCAGAAGGTTATATATAACCCCATGTAGAATTTTGAAGAGAAAGGAAATTCCATTTCATCCATCCTCTTGTGGGTCCCCTGAGGTGAGGTTGGATTTTCTCATCTTCTGGACTGCGAGTGGCACATTGTTGGAAGATGAGGAGAAAGGACCACTGAGGCATCCTGCACTAGCTACAGAGCTGGGGTTTCATGGAGCAGAGATAGAAAACAGGCTTGCTTTCTATGCCTTTATCCCCAGCACTCCCACCTGCCCTAGCCACTGAGGAAGAAGCTTATGCAATTTCAGATAACGCCTCTCACCACTAGAGGGAGAATGAGACTCCTTATAATATCTGCCCTTGAACTAACCAGCTTTTCTGGAACTGTGCGGGAATATAGGCATATATGTAGTTAACACGGGAGTGAATATGTTGCCTGTGCACAATTGACTGTTGGGGTAGGGATCCGCACACTTGCTGCATCTGCAGTGGTGGAGTAGAGGGCAGGAGAAGGGGAGAGCAGAGGAAGAAAAGAGAGGGAGGGCAGGAGCAAGGCATGTAGCCGGGGACTTGGTAGGTTCCATTTCCCTGGGACTATCTACCTAGCTATCCATTTCCACAGTCCCCAAGTGTCTTTGTTCCAGAATAATTTGTTAGGCCCTAAAGGCACTGTATAGCTATCAGCCATCCAAGTGATTCATGCTATCTATTCTTGTTTTATTTTGCTTTGCAATTAACATTCCTGACACAGCTTCTATGTAAAATACTTGAATATTTAAAAGTTCCATAATATCCTTTGTATAAGTATGGTTTTATAAGCAGTGATCTGCATTCTCCTTATTGGGTGACGGAGGTATCAAATATCCTAAATTCCTCTTGGTGGTGAATTTCAGCTTAGATAAAATCCACACCTGTTTTGGAGTTTGTGGATGGTTTAATTTAATCTTCTGGCCAGTTGGGTATTCATGAAATAGTGTTCAGTTTGAGATCAGTTTAGGAGAAGTTTAATTGCAAAAGCTATTCTACAAGGCTCATTATCAAGATCTCTCACACACATGGATTCTGTTTCTTCATGTCCACAAGTTCCACATTCACAGTTGCAAGCAGCTGTTGATTAGGAAGATAGTTCTGAGCGTGTACAGACTTTTTCTTGCCCTTATTCCCTAGCCAATACCTTGTAATAACCATTTACATAGCACTTGTGTTGAATTAGTCATGTGGGAATGATTAGAAGCATTTGTGAATATATGTAAACAGAGCATCATTTTATGTGTGTTCACACACATATGTATCTTTAGATTTTGTGTGTTTCTGGTGTTTCTGGGAGTTCTGCGAACAATTTTTAGTAAAGAAGAGACAGCAGTGCATGGATTTGGGTTTAGGTTGCTGGACTATTGCTCCTGCTGGCCATAGCTTTTTAACTGACACAAGAGACTGGTGCAGGCAAGAGCTGACACGTCCATATATGTTTATATATGTTTATATATGTTTATATATGCCTCTGAAGAGCCAAGTGAGAGAAAAGACTGAGATTTAAAATGATTAGACTTTAAAACTGATTTTCTTGTTAACTTCAGAAAAGTGACATGCCTGAGGACAAGCATCTTGGCGTGGCTTCTGTCTGGAAGTCGGAATAGAAATGAGCCTGGATCCAGTTAGGACAAATCCCTCTCAGTGTGCTCACTCGCACCCTCTTTTTAGAGATGTGACATTAAGGCACACACATAGACAAACTAGGACAGGAGCTTTGTTTCTTAAGCTCTTATAATGTTCCCACCTGCAAGGAAATATTGCTTTGAGGTAGAAGGAAACTCTTTTTCGGTCCAAGCCCCAGGTTCTGGGACACAGAAAGTCTTATTCTCTGAGAAAACTGGCTGTTGGCTTGAGGTTTCTCCTTATTAGAGCCCCTGAAGGCATGAACCACACTGTGGAGGGGGCACTGGTGCTTAGCAGAGTGGGACAGAAGGTCAGTGATGTCCAGGCTCTCATTGGAATTCACAAAAATGCTCACAGGCTTGAAGACACACTAGAAAATACTTAATTCTTAGACCCTGCTGAGAAAGAAATGAACCAGTTTTGGTGATCAAGGGGTGTAAATTGCCAGAGGACATTTGCAGTCATCAACTAACACATCTCTTGGCGGCCCCCACCCACCCCTCATACTGAGTGCCAGCAAAGCAAACCACCTCATAGTGCCCACACAATTATTCCCCAAAGTCCAGGCCACATGGAAAGCACAGTCAGAGTCAGCTGTCTTCAATGAGGCCATTCTGTAAAAGCTACTCCCACTTTCCACAGTCTTGGTGGTGGGACTTAGAAACACCACCACCAAATACTCTGAAGAGTGTCTGATTTTGACAGGTTGGTGTTGTGGTAAATATTATTTGGGGGTTTGTACCCCACCTTAGATCATTTATTTCATTCAAAAAGATACAAAACCTTTATATTTATAAGCCTTAAAGCACTAGAGCTGGGCAAATATCAACCCACTATGCTATTTTGTCTATTTCCTCATCAATGTCCCCAAGATATCACTTGCCATGTTCCACCTGGGCTGCTCCTACTCCACCTGCCTGGTCCCATGGCCATGCACTCACAATCCACCTACCCCATGGTTGTTTTCCTCCCTTTCCCTCCCCTCTCCCTCCCCCTCCCCCTGCCCCTCCCCCTCCCCCTCTCCCTCCCTCTCCCCCTCCCTCTCCTTGTCTCTGCTCAGACCAACCCTGTACAGGTTGGTAAAGTACTTTTATTTCCTGCTGGCCAATTTGGCATCAGTTGACCCATTGCCCTATCTCTGGTTTAATTTGGGCTGGGCTGTTCTGCGAACAGGAATTGCATTCTTCCTATTGGAATGTTTCCTAATTTTCATTTTACTTCTTTTAGTTTTACAGGTAACATGCATGACTAGGTGGAAGATCCTGGGGATTTTCCACACATTTTAGTAGCACTTAGAAGGAGGAAATTTAAATAATCTTCTGGAGCTGTTACAATTCATGTGTCACACTGTGTTATAACTACAGGTCCAGGAGGGTGGAAGAGGATGAGAATGAAGACTCTCCATCAAACCAGAAGTGGGTCTTGGCACCCAAATCACAAGACACTGATGTGACACTGATTCTCAACAAATTGCTGAGAGAATATGACAAAAAGCTGAGACCGGACATTGGAAGTGAGTGCCATTTGTTATTCCAATATAAAAGATGCTATGATAATCTATGCATTTAGAGTTTCATATTAAATAATTTTAAAGCCAGAGTTGCTAACATAATGTGACAAGGTCTCCTGTATTTGTCACAGTTTGAAGTGAATGACAGCAAAACTAAGAGATGTCCAGCTGTGGGTCTGTGGTCCCTGTCATATCCTTAAGGTTTTGAGTTTGGTTTCTCGGCTAGTGTTCTGAGCTTGCTGGATATGTTTAGACTTCATCCGCATACTCTCTTCATGGGAATAGAGACCCAGGCTATTCCCTCTTTTACAAGTTGGATGGTTAAGCTTTATTTTACCTTTTTATTGCTGAGGTTGAGAGCTCCTTACTTGTCCTTTATTGTCTGTCAGATCTGTAGCTTGGCTTCGTTCTCTCTCTCAGCAGATTCCTTCACAAAGCAGGTTTTAATATTGATGGAACCTGATTTATTGGCTCTCTTTTTATGGAGTCTTTCAGCACTCTTTCCACAAGGCTCTGTTTGGTAAGGTGCTTATTGGCTTGTCCCCTTTCTGGTGCCTTCGATGCAAAGTCTCTCCTGTTTTTTAAGTCCAGGACTGCATTTTATCAGTAGCAGGATATATAATTACCTTCGTTCCAATTGGTATGAGATTTCAAAGTCTTTGTGATTAAGAAAGGAGAATTTTAAAGGTGTGTGTATCCATCAAGATACTGGATAAACCGTGTCAAATTTCCTTGCTTCACTTCTTTTTGTTTATAGTGATGACAAGTGCCTGGACTCTCCAACTCCCTTCTTGCTTTAAAAATATTTTCTCAGTGTGCTGCCTGCAGAATATCTAGAGATAAAATAAAAAACAACAACAACAAAACAAAGAAAATGCAAACAAATGCTGCCCTGGATGTAGGAAATAGAAACACTTAGTCACTGTTAGTGCAAGTACAAACTGGTACAACCAATGTGGAAACCAGCATGCAAGTTTCCCAGAAAGATGGAAAAATAGATCTACTACGTGATCCAGCTATACAACTCTTGGGTTTAAAACCAAAGGACTCTATGTCTTACTACTGTACAGATACCAGCTCATCCGTATTCATTGATCTTGTATTCACAATAGTCAGGGAATAAAAACAGCCTAGATGTCTTGCAACTGATGAAGAATAAAATTTGGTACATTTATTATTATTCATGTGTAAAAAAAGAAATCATGAAAATTTCAGGTAAATAAAGCCAGAAATGTTCACCTAAGTAATTCAGATTCAGAAAGACAAACACTTCATATTCTCTTTCATATGTGAATAGTAGCTTTGAATATTTAGATCAGTATGTTAAATTGGAGTAACTACAGACACCAGGAAACTAGTAAGTGACCACAGTGGGTGAGGGGGAGATTTAAAGGAAAGGGATGAGAATGCAGTTTAGGTAGAAAGGAGGGTGGGTGGGAGAATAATCAACTAGAAAGGGTTAACTGATTTGGAGTTTCGAAGGGTAGAGAAGCAGGAGGGCATATGAGGGAGGGTCAGTAACACTAAAGGCATTTGAAAAGGCCATCTAGAAACCTACTACTGAAAAACTCCTGTTTGTGTGTGTGTGTGTGTGTGTGTGTATGTGTAAGATGCATATGTATTATATACACACATAAAAGGAGATTAAATGGTTTTACCCTCTAGTGATGGATGTTCCTTCTCCTAGAAACCATAAGCTATCAAATAAAAAAGCCTGTTGCCAGGCATAGATTATTTTCTGGTGATTTGTCAATGGGTCCCTTAGAAAATCATCCAAGCATTATAAGATATTGACATTGTTTTTGTTACCCTTTAGAATTTTATGGTAAGAGCTTTGTTGCAGACATCACATAGTTCAATCATAGAATATGAAGTTGAAATCAAGTTGGCACGTATCTGGAAGCTTCTTCATCCACACTGGCTAGGTTTCACAGAGCTAGAACATCCTATACATGTTATCAAGGAAGAAAAGTAACAAATACTTATACACATATGTGAAACCTGGGGACTACAATAACCACTGGCCTAGTAAGATATGGCTACTTTTGCACTGGTAGAGCAAGTATTATGTAGTAACCAACAGCTTTCTGATTGGATATAAAGCCAAGTTGGAGTTTTATAAACTTTAATTTAAATTTAAAACAAGGTGGTATTCATGCCCAGTACCTTTAACTGGGCCTAAAATCCACAACTGGCTGTGTTATTATGTTGGTTTGAATGAGAATTGTCCTTCTGTGCTCATATATTTGAATACATGATCTCCAGCTGGTGGTTGTTTAAGGAGGACTAAGGAGTGGCCTTGCTGGAAAAAGTAAGTTATTTGGTGTAGGCTTGACATTTAAAAGATTTATGTCATATTGGGGTTTGTTCTCTCTGTTTTGTGGTTGTGGATCAATATGTAAGCTCTCAGCTGTTCCTTTGATCTGCCATTGTGCACTTAATCCTCTGAAACCCTAAGCCAAATTAATACTTTATTTTATATGTGATACCCATTATGTTGCCTCTGTCATGGTGTCTTATCGTAGCAATAGAAAAATAAAGAAAACTGTCATAGACCCTAGAGAGAACCTGTGGCCATGTAGATCGTAGACCTTAGGGGAAAGTGTAATACTATTATTCTGCTAAGTCAGTATAGTAATAAATTCTTTAAGTACTCACCTTCCTAACCATAAAATAGTGCATCTCTGTCTCTCATTAGAAAAGTTTCTTTTTTGCAGTAGATAGCAATTAACACAGAAGCTCAACTGGTCAGTGTGTACAGGATAAAAGAATATAGAATGCTCAGCTCTTAATGGGACATTTATGTGACACCCCTGCCTCAAGGCTCAGGGATCATCACAGAAGAGGGGATGGATAGAATTTTAAGAGCTAGAGGTAGTCAGTGCCTACTGATACGTTAATGCCAGGACATTCATGAACTCAAAGCAACCATGATTGTATGTAAAAGACCTGCATACAGTCAAGACAGCCAAAATCTTAGCATGAATGAGAGAGGTCCATCAAGTTCCACTGCTGACCTAGGAGCTATTGGAATTGCTGGCTGATACTCGGGAAGGACTCTTTTCTTTTGGGGGGGGGGTGAGAGATGTGGTCCCTGAAAGGCTCCATTAGATGGCCTTGTACCAAAGGACATCCTGTCAGCACAGAATGGAACTTAGTAGTTTAAAATAGAGCACATAAAGAGAAAGTGATTGAGGGGGGAGAGTATGGGAGGAATCAGAAGAGAGATGGGCATGGATTTGATCAAAACACAAATGCAGGTATCAATTCGCAAACAATAAAAAAAAAAGTTTGTCCGCATGAACGAGGTCTAAATTACTGCGGGATAAGTTTTGTGCATTCTATGATCATCCAGTCTTCCTGTTCTCTTCATTTTAAAGGTCAGTAGTGTGACAAGCAATGAGGGCAAAGTTGCAAACAAATGACTGGGGGAAGTGTCTGGAAGTCAGGTCTGGTTTTCTACTGAGAAAAGTGATTTTAAAATGTTGCTGACGTCCTCAGTGTTTGTCAGAATAAAAGCAAACCTGCTCTTCTGTAAAAGTTCAGTCTCGCTGGTACCTTCCATCATAGCACTACATTCGTTGGGTTGAGAGGTTTTTTATTTCTTGAGGAAGAAAGTGGGCATGTCTAGCTTCCGATCTAGACCTCTATAGACCTCTATGAAAAGTGAGGTATTTCTGTGTTGTTCATAGAAAGTTTGAGGCAACATATTCAAATACACACACACACAAACACACACACACACACACACACACACACACACACACACACACACACCATGATGTTTGGAAACAGAGAGGTCCTATCCATGGGACAGGCAAGCAAAATTCACACTTCTACAGTTTATAATAGCTCTCTCCTTATCCATGGGAGTTATATTTCTAGGTCCTCAATGGGTGCCTGAAAGTATATATGATATCTTGTCCTACAGGGACCCTATGGTAACCTGTGGTTGAGTTTAATTAATAAGACAGTGTTAGAAATTGACAGTAATAGCTAATAAACTAGCAGCATGGCAACAACATATTGTGATACCCATTATGTAAACAAACTTTCAAAATATATTACTGTGTGCTGTATTCACCTAATTTTGTACTGTGGCTGACCACAGGAAACTGGAATCCGCAGCAAGAGGCTGTGGGTTAGGGAAGGATTCCTGCTGTATACATAAAGAGCTGTGAATTTTTTCACAGGAGAAGAGCCCTGTGCTTTTCGATTGAAAGGAGTTTCTCAGAACAGTGGAGTGCAAAACGTCAGTGCAGGATGCTCCTCTGTGGGTTTAGAGGCCAAAGCTTTGCCGTGGCATTTTCCCAGACCTTGGGGCAGAACAATGTCTTGATAAAAGTCACCATCCCTGAAATGTCTGAGAATGCATCTCCTTGTCTCAGCTGAATGTTAAACAGCACCTGATTAGTAAACTCCAGCAACTTGCTGATACTCTGGTACAAGGGAGGTTATCTGCCTAAGAGCAGATGTCCTGGGAAGACGTTATATCTGTATTTTCTTTCCTGGCTTAGAGGGTTCTGATTCAAAGGACAATTCCTCATAAAAATTCAAATTACTTTTCTGTTGTCATGCCTCTGCTCAAGTTTAGTGTACTTTACCTGTGGTAGCTGTTGCCAGTTCAGTTGAGATAGCACAGATGTGTTTGCTATTACCTTAATGGACTACTCAGTTGACTTACACATTTCTCCTTAAGTCCCTTCCCAGTTCCTCATTGTGTTCTGAGCTCTCTGTACAAATCCCTGTCCAGGTCAGCTGGAGAACAGCATAGACCTGCCCATACCTTGCCCTGCTGTTGGTGAAGGAAGGGGCAGGTCTCAGAGCAGTACTGGAGAGGAGCTATAGGCATTCCCACCAAATAAATTAAACTTGTTGCATTGGAAACTTGAAATTTTTATTCTGCTTCTAAGATGAAGTCTAAGATCTTGGAAAATATACCAAAAGGCATGCTCTTACCTGGTCCCTGCCTGTCCTAGCATTTCTGTTGCATTCTGTGACAC